GCTTATTTCGTCTGCGTAATACTAGCTTGGCTTTCGTCCTTGAATTTATTTTGGTAGCTTAGCTTTGTGAGTGCTTGATCTTCGGAATTTCAAATTGCGTGATCTTCAGAATTTCAATTTCAATGTATAATACCTTACTACATTTGCTTCGTTATTCTTCGTTATTTGAGCTTGCTTTTTTACTGTATATATTGGTTTCGTTTTGACATTGCCTCGCTTCACTTCGTTCTTTGTTCTTCGTTCTTCGCTTCGTTCTTAGACATTGCGTGGTTTCGTTGTAACATTCCAATGATTCCTTCTACAAGCACAAAACGGGGGTTTGGTGAATGTTCGCGTTGCAAAAGTACATATTCAACGCGTTGGAAGCCAGCTAAATGTCAGAGATGTGGCTTCCATCTTGGTGGAACGAAAGAACCAGCAACTAAAAAGCCAAAGAGCAGTTGTCCTGGTGCCGTTGTTGTTTTAGCCACCAAGGAGATGTCAATTTTCTCGGCTAGAACAAGTACACGCGACGATCGTTGTTTTGTTATGAAAGAAGGCGACTTGTTCTTTTGTAGCCACAAAGACTGCATGAGTGTTCGTGCAACTTTTGTGTCTTCGGGACGTGCTGCGTCCTTTAGTTGCAAGCATTCTGAAGAGTGTAAAGATGCTGTTCCCCCTCAAGACACATTCGAATTATCTCGCGACAAAATTGAGGATTATAATGGAGACGGTGCTTCCAAGGAAATGCTCTCCGCTTTACTTGGGTCACAGAATAGCATGGCTGTTGTGGTGAAAGTATCAGATATATCTTATGCTGTGCTTGGTTTTCCTTCAACCAATAACACCATGGGATATATCCATGTGAAGATCTTGGATGGGGTTTTGACCTGCAGCTCTAAAGACACTGACTGCAGGTCTTTCGTGGCGAAGGGAAGGTACGAACGGGCCAAGAAATTTTGCGTCCATCTCCACGCTATCTTCTGCACCGGAGGCTACTGCCAAGAACAAGGCACCAGCACTAGCACTTCTCCTATAGCTGATCCTCTTCCTAGTGCCTCGTCAGCTTCATCTTTACCGTTACAGCGGATGAAAACCATGGAACTAAACTCGAGCCGGCAGTTGCCTTACGATTTCATCTCCCCTGCACTTCTTACTGCAATCGATGCTCGCAATGCTAGTTCTTGGCCCTCTCTATTGTACCCAACGGCTTCTGCTTGTGGGTTATGTGGGCATAATCTGGGGAATCAAATTAAGCATCCTGGCAGCGAAGGGCAGGCTTACTTGGTTACTTCTGCAAGGCCGTATTCGAAAGTGGAAGTCAGAATAAAGGTATGTCAGAGGGATACCTGCAGAGCCATTCACCAAGTAGACCCCTCGGACATCGGTGAGTGTTGGATTTCACAAATTTGTTTTTGAAATTTAGAAGTTATATTCTCAAAGTTGTTGGCTTTGTATTTTGGTTTAATGCATTATCCTTTTATCAAATGCCTCTCGCTCACTATGAGGGCACTGCGCCTTCCACATAGAGGCCCATAACACATAGTGAGCCTTACCATATCTAAGAATTTGTTGGTGCAAAATTAGTACCTGGTTTTTAAGCAGTTGCCGCCATTTCTTGAGAACCCTGGCTATGTATAGTAAAAGGCTTTCATTACTGTTTTTTCTCTGCACAATTTTTTTTTTTGTTAGGCCTGTTTAATGTAGCAGATTCTGTGCTGATATCATTTGACATCCTATTGGAATGGCGTGAACATTTCAAACTTGGACACCCTATCAGTAATGTGATCATGGCCAAGCTGACATTCTTGAATCAGAAGTTGGAACAGGTACATTTGCAACAAATATATATTCTCAAATATCAAGGTTTGCCTCTGCCAAGCAGAAACTGCTATATCATCCTGTTCTCTCGTGTCTTTCTTATATTACATAAAACAATCTGATATTGTTTTCCTCATCATTGTTCAGCTGGTTCTAAGGTTTGCCTTGTTCCTCTGTTGGCTAACTTTGTCACATTCTTTTATCAAGTCTCACAGATTATCAAATGCAAAGCTGGATTACATTGCCAGTTTGTCCTACCAAGGATTTTACTGTTTTGAGACCATCACAACAAGAAACCTGGATGATGTTATTTGTGGAATTTGTGGAATTGTTGGCGAAGTGTATCTTGGTGATGGCAACGAGAAGAACTGTTGTAACAATAGCAGGGTGAGAATTTGCATATATATTACTGAATTGTCTTTCTTTGTTTACTATACCTCCACGTGTTTTGTCCCATGGAATCTTGGGAGTTTAGCTGTTTTTACACATGCTTTCAGTGTTGCATGCATAGGGGACATCCTTTGACCATCTTTCCACATGTCACACTTTGTCTATTGCAACATTGTTTGGGGAAACTGTCGGCTAACTTTACGAAATAAGTGACAAAAACTGCAAAATAAAGCAGCCCGTGTTTTGACCTACTCAGGCTACGATGTAGTGGCTGGTTTAATCTTCTCGGGTAGAAACATTTAACAAGCCAGCAGCAAATTCAAAGAGCTATCAATGATAGTTTATAATTCTCTTTCTTAGTTGGCTCCAGACTATCTAAGTTCTAAATTTGAGGGACAAGAACCGCATATAACCTTAGGGCCTCTGACGATAAACTTAAGTTTCTGCTCTATTACATTTTTATGCCTCGGCTTAACAACGAAACTACTGTTATTGGTTTTTGTATTTGTTCTTTTCATGGTAGATTGATTTTTCAAGCATAGATGACAAAAAGGAAGTGTGTTCACTGGAAAATTTCATGGAGAAAATTCGTCATCATATGATTGAGCAGTGTGTGTATAGCAGGGCCAACGAGCATATGAAATTTGCTGCTGAAGAAATTCCTCCAATTATTCCACCAGCATTTAGAGGGTCTGTTGTTTTCAATACTGAAATGGACAAAAATAGTGAATTTTTGAAAGGCAGTCAAACCCCTGAAGGTAGAACTGGTATTTCCTTTTAAAATTCCATTTGTAGTGCAGTGGAACATGTGTTAAGTGGGCACCCTCAGAAGGAAAAAAATTAATAATACTCTCATGGAATGCTAGTGTCAGAAATCTACAGTAATGTCACAAGGAGGGATTGATTACAGATAATGGAGATATCATAATTTGTCTCATCCATTGTTAAGGGTAAATTCCATCATAGTTTGTTTTATCCATTACTAACTCTTAAAAGGCTTGTTGAGCATTTTGTAATTATTTGACTTCATCGCCCTGTTAGTGTGTGACATCTTTGCGTTATTACTTTTTGTTTTGGACTAAAGGTCAAGATGTTATTTAGCCATTGTTAATATTTTTTTCCATCTGGTTCTACATTTCAGAATAATGGTAGGATGAATTGAATAGATTTGTCCTTTCTCCGACTCCTTCCTTTCAACAATACTAACCCCGGTTTGGTTTGCCAATAAGGAAAATCTTCGATCTTGACTGATAACTTTCCACAGAGGAACAATAATACTATTATTGTGAATCCTTATTATTATATTCACGATGGCTTGTTTCTTTATCTCAATATTAGGTGACTCCTACAAGCTGTTGAATTTGGTAAAATCCAAAGTTCTTGATATGGAAAAACTTCAAACCATGTCAAAAGAGGAATTAGATGATGTTGCAAGAAATTGTGGGATCAAAATCTCCAGTAAATCTGCTGTAAGTTTCCATTATTCGTGTTGTTATATACGTTGCTATCTTTTCTAATAACTTCAGGAGTAACAAGCCTGTGCTCTATCAGCACCCGGGTGACAGGAAAAACATACCTAGTCGCCCCGCTGGGCGACCTGCTTTTTGAGATTTAATTTAGAAATGAAAACAGCCTCATTAACTTTTCTTTCTCTTATTGATTTCTTGCATTGTAATGAAGATTACAAGGCAAAATTCAAAATGTTTAAATCCATCTGTGAAGTCAAAACATTGGACATTTAATGACTCAGTTTGATGCGTACGTTTCACACTGGGCTACAGTGATACGTACAGCAGTTTCCCTGTTAACTTCTTATCACTTCAAAAAGTCTTGTTAGCTCTTGTGGTTTTTTCAATGTGCATGAAAAGTCCCTTGTTGAAGGAAAATGTGAACTAAATTATCAGAAGCGCATGCATAGAGGGAAAAGAGGGAATTGAAAAATGACTTACTTTTTCTACGTATAATAACCATTTTAACTCAAAAAAATGTGTACATTTCGTCTTTCTTTGTGGACTTTTGCACACAGTATTACCAAAAATTACATGAGAATCTTTATATTACTAGGATAACTGGCCTAGAAACAATGCAAGACATTTTTATTTGATGGTCAGTTGGTTATCATATATTAATTGTTATTAGTTAATTATAAATAATGAATCAATTAATTGATTTTGAATTTTTTTTGGTTCAGGCTACCGAGCTTCACCTCTGGACACCCTAGCCTGCAAGGTTGGGTACCCAAAGGGCTCCCTAGAATTCATCTTACAGCACAGCCTTGAATAATAATTGACATTTATATTATCACAACTAGTAATTGTTTACAGAAAATAACGTCTATGTTTTTAGACAAAAGTCTATGCGTATATGAATTTTCTAGTTCGATAGGATTGTTAAATGTTACTAACTTTTGCAATCATTCTGACTACCTTCTTGAAATTAATTTTGAGGTGGTGCCAACCACACATCCTCTACAACTCTTATTTGGAAGATTTTTTCTAGTTTATGAAATAAGAAATGACATTCCTTGTCTTTTCAGACCAAATTACGTCTGGACATCCATGCTTTGTATGCGACTCTGTTGGTAGGGTTATGTCCATGCCATGGCTACAACAAGTCACCTGGTAGAACTGGAGGATTTTATCACTTAGTTTGTCGACATGGAGTGAGTATATCTTGGTAATGTCAAGCAATTTGGCCACCACAATTAGCGATTCCTATCAGCAATTTAAAAAAAAATTAGATCTGACAGACAGACAGAAAACCAGACAGATATGACACTTGAGTCGTGTCCTATAATTTTAAGGTAGTTGTCATGTAACTTTATTGAATTACCAAAGGCATAATTCTATTGAAATATTCCTTTAGACAACTGTGGCCTCAAAGTTTTTGACATTGGCTGAATCTGTTAGGGATGCTGCTGATCTTTATTTGTCACTGAAGTATCCACCCCCTGTGTTTATAAGTGATTCTCCTTGTGGATTTGCAAGACATATGGAGTGTCGTGTTCCTGATATCACTGATATTGTGTGGGGAGAAAACTATGGCTGTTTTGAAAAACCAGAGTTTGGAAGACATCCTAATGTAAGGATTTTGTCTATATTTAATACGTCAACCTCTATTAAGCAGACACCCCTGGGTCAACTTTATTTTAGGGTGTTCACCGCCTCTGTATGTTTGGATGAATTCCAAACTTACAGGTAATGGTTGTTTTCCTTGATGTGTATTTTTTAAAATCCAACATGATTGATTGAACCTACGAACGAATTAACGAACAAGTGATAATCTGATTTACCTTCAACCACTGGCCATACTCTATTTAATTCTTCAGAATAACATTAACTGACACTGCGGGATGAAACCTATTTATTGTAAAACATAGATTCTCTTAACAGATGGCAAATATATATTGACACAAATTGTTTGCCAAATTCGTGAGAAAGGTAACAAAATGTTTCAGGAATCATATGTTTATATTTGTACATTTGTTCCCATTTGTTTATGTCAGTACTTTCTTTCTCATGCAGTGCGATGTTGATGTTCCCTACATAGTCCCACAGGAATATAGAGACATGTCAAGGCAGTTGCAAAACCCAGACAACCTAGAGAGACTCCAGCATCCAGTAACCATGACAACACGGCGCTATGTTCTGGGTGATCGTTTTCATAACAAATCCAATCCTCACAAGTCACCCTTGTGTGTTTACCACGACATTGACAAATGCCGACAAAGTTTAACAATTAAAACAAGTTATCAGGAAGTTGAGAACTCGCGCAAAAACCAGCGGCGTTTACGCAGTTCTTGTGCACAATCCTTTGGCACTCACTTCTTGTTTAATTATTTGATGGACTACTATCAGAATGAAGCAATAGTAGAACATCAACGATTACGACTTGAGTCCATGCTGAAAGACGATGAAACAATTGCTCGGGATGTTTACAAACGTTTTGTAATTGTTAAGAAATTGTAATCATTTTCATTTCACTAAGTAAATGCTGACTTCTGGTCCAGGAGATTTTAAAAGTTCTATAGTTTTCTAACATTCCAAAAGCCCACCCCGTAACTTGCAAATAACTGCCCACAAGTAATGGTCTGCTCGTGCGTAGTTTCATCTAAACAATATTATGCTCATGTGTGATTGAAATCACACTCTTGAATCCAATCTCAAGTGAAAAATGGAACCTTCCTTAGGTTTAAATATGAATACAAAACAACCTTGGTAATTGAATGACAAAATAACTATTGAACTTGCACATATTATGATTTGTTGGTGTTCTCGCTGATTAATTGATTTGGTCGAAATTGACAAACCATGATATTTTGCTCCACTTCCTCTAATAGTTAATTATTTTTCTTCTCACAGAATCGACTGCTGTTGGAATAATAGTATTTACTGTACAATACACACTTCTGTCCTTATCTTGGTGTGTAGGGATTGCGATTTACATCCTGTATTTCGTAGACTTCCTTATAAAACCCGACAATATTAATCATGTCGTCTTGTTATCAAGATTTCTACCTCTTTTTCAACTTGGAAAATAATTATTATTTTGAATTTTTGTTTTTTTGTTTTTTGGACTTTCTTCGTACCTTGTGTGCATTAAAAACTTATCGACATGTAATATCACATATATTGCCAAGAGATACGTGGGTTATGCTGGCTCCTGAATTTTGGGGTCTGAGAATGACCTCTTCTCACAGATAATTTCAGTTGAGTTCTGCAGCATTCACTATTCTATATTCAAGATGTTGACTCCTGATTTACATGTTTGTGGTGTACGTTTAATCAGTTGATTTCTGCATCATGCAATATCCTGTGACAATGATTCAGTGAGTTGTGATTTCTTCCTAAAAACCTTTTAGAAAATTTTAGTTGGTATAATTGTATGGGGATACAAAGCACAAGTTCTTTGCTATAGCTGGCATTTTTCTCATGGTTTTAACCTGACTTCTCATGGTCTAAAATATCCTGGCCACAATGAGTCGAGCTGGTTACTCGATGATACCCCCTGTGTCTTAGTGTGCAACTCTTTCAGCGAGGGAATGAAAATTTCCTACTGAAACTGAAACTTTTATTAGGGTGAAGTACTTGTCCAATGGGATTTTCACCTAAGACAACAGGTTAATGTCCTCTTGGGGAAGAGGAGGGGACTAGGAAACCAAAAATTATAAATAGAAAACCCTACATTGCTTTAATCCTTTCATCTTTATCGTCTATTATTAATCTATTTTGTTCTTTTCCCAGACAGTTTTTTTTTTTTTTTTCCTCAAAGTTATTTGTTCAAAAACCAGTTCTCAATATAAGAAAAAGAAATTTACAAAGTGGCTTGAAGATATGAATTTTATTTTTGCATGTTGAATACAATATTTGAGAGAAAACAAGGGATTCTTCTGGTAAGAGGAAGAACACACTATGAAAACTGGTGGGATCATCTTTTTCTGTACACCTTTTTATTGACAATCAGGTAATTTGATAGTTTTTCTAAAAATTGTTGTTGCCTTCATGCTTGAAGTATTGTATATACAAAAGTTATCACTTAAAACTAGAATTATAGAATTAACATGTGCCAGACATATTGGGTATTACCCTTACAATTTTCACATAACAATACTGTTCAAAATTAAGTTGATGGTTTTTTTTTAGGGGGGTTTTCCACTTCTTTACACCAATAAGAAAACTTCAATCCTGCAGCTATAACCACAGTTTCCTCAAGGGTCATTGCATTTATAGGGAATTTGATTCTAACATCATCATTCTATTTCTGAACAGAAGTATGATTTAAGATGAATGGCAGCAACAAGATTTTACGTATATTACTTTTTGATGTATATTTACTGAAGACACGTACACAATGGTTTTCCATGTTTTGATTTGGAGAGTTTCCAAAAATAGGAAACAGCATGAATAGATCAAAATTTATCTCAGTAAAGATAACCTTTTCCTGCAGAACGTTATTGTTCCTTGAAAACATGTTAAATTCAAACTGTGTATTTCACATACTGTTTTCAAATCAAAGGGTACAATAATTATGTGACTGACCCCTTACGTTTTGATAACTGGTATTTTGGCCATCTCGGCTTGAGAGTAAAGCTTTAAATTACATATGTGGCTAACAATCGAACAGACTTTGAAAACAAAATAATAAACAACATGGGGCTCCAGACTCCTCAGCCAAACCCTCGGGCTGCAGCATCCAATCCCCCCTCCCTTTCCTCCCCCCTACCCTCTTCGGCACCCTCTGATAGATTACTGCCTATCTTTGCACTTGGCACATTCCCAGTCTTCGTCTTCTTTGGGCATACTGTTGAGCCCAGAGCACAACCTGTACAAAAAAAGAAATTTACATTATTTAGATTATGTGTACAGTTTTATTGTATGACCAGAACACAACAGAGGACTTGTAGCAAACATTTATAATAATAAATTGCTCTTCCCATTCCCAAAGCACTACTGGAAGGTAAAGAGGTTTTGATAACCAAAAAATTTGCATGGTTGTCCTTCGATCCCTCCGTGTACAACTTACTCTTTTTGGGGGGACAGAAGTACAGGAATTGGTGATGGTCTTATTCCTTTCACCTTCATCACTTATATAATAGTTATTTTTTTTTGGAGTGAAAACAAAATCTAAGTTGACAGTTGTTTGCTTGTCTTGAACATTACTTACAGGTGGAACCAGTCGTCACATGTGTCACACTGTACCCATTTTATTCCTTGTTTGGAACACTTCTTTTTGCTGCCAGGAGGTGTACTCAGCATACACAGTTTGCATGCATCGTCATTTGTCACTGTTTGAAAAGAGGCAGTTTACATAGAATCCCTATAAGTTTAAATTATTGTCCCTCAGTTCTATCATACATACAAGGAAGAGTGATTTGACTTTTTATTGACTGACAATAATTATTATTCATGTTTGTTTTCCATAATGATTAAGCACATTGTATTTCTGAAACTTCACTGGTTTGTGGCTGGCACACTGGATGGGGCTGGAATCTTGCTTTGATGCGCATACGCATGTGTTGTCAAACATCTAGTTGCACAAGCATGCTATGTAAGAGTTTGTGCAGTTCACATTGAAATTGTCACCCAGATATGCATGTAGAAATAAAATTGTAGAAATAAAATTGTAGAAAAATTTCTGGTCGACTAGCTACATAGCAAAATAGTTCAGTGCCCTCTAGTTGGTTCTGCATCACCACCTAATTTTGTAACTGTTTCAAATATACACACGAGGTCTGCATTTTGGACCATTTATTTCATCCACTTTTCCTATGTGACAAAATTACCTTTCCTTGTCTTCCTAACACCAACACAACCACTGACAGAGTGTTCAGATGCTGCTTTGGTTGCTCTGTCTTCTTCTATAGCTAAGTCCAAAAATAGATTTTAATGTTAGTAACAAAAGCATTTAATTGTTGGAAGACTCAACACCAAGTATAGCCCAGGTGGATCAAGGGATCAAACCTTCAAATAAAAAGATGCGACCCTATATATTAGCAATTATAACATGAGGATTTGGCCTCAGAATGCTGGTCCCTCAGGACCTTGATTTTAAAAAAATGTTCCTTGGAGGATGCATACAGCCTTCAGTGGTCCATATCTTAAACCCCCTTCTCTAGAATACTGTCTCTACCCCAGATAAACCAAAAAATTGTTGAAAGAGATAGAAAGATGTAAAACTCATTCAAAATTATTGCCCATAGGTATTTCATATATAAACTTGTCAACTAGGTTCAGGTCATCCCTTGTTTTTGATACCATACCTGCAGAACTGTTTTACTACTTAAAGTGATGACTGTTTATTTTAACCATCCAGCACCTGATAAAACTTGAGGCTCATCCATATCATTATCTCCACCCCAAATGCTGCATTCGTCTGTATGAAGTGATCAAGTGTGCCATGTTATTATTAGCAACGACTCAAAATAAAAGTAAATCACATTCAATTGACAACATTATCAACCGACATTACCAACTGTTTCATTACTGTCCAAGCTGATCCTGTGTTTGGCTCCTGCTGTATATCCCTATAATGAACGAATCAATAGCATAAAGAGTTTGTTACGAGTAAAGTACTTGCACCAACTTCATATTTACTTTAAAATGTTACAGAAGATGTTAAGTCATTTCCTTTTAAAAGCATAAAAATATTGTGGATATATTTACCATTTCAAAAGCTTTCCTCCTCCTAGGAGTGAGGGCGTTCATTGCCCTTTTTGATGTTGGAGTCATCTTTTAAAATTACATAAAAAAAAAAATGATTAAAAAAATTACATAACCTGTTGGTAAGCATTCAAGAATCTTTTAGACATTTGAACTTAAATTTCCCCTAAATCAATATAGCACTTTGTAGATGCTAAATTGATTTGAGTGGAAGGTTTTTTCAACACATGTAATAAATATTGTATGCAGCAGAAATGTATACTGTGTGTGCAGATAAAGGCTTGGCACAATCACTGACTGCTCCAGCATGAAAATGGCACATAGGCAAAGAATGCCAACCTAAGAAATATGTCTCTCTTGAAACATCAAATACTTGATGAGACCCTTTGTTTGTTCCACTTAAAATCAATATTGAACTAAAATTGTCCTCATGAGGCAACAATAAATTTGAATGCTATTATATAATTCACAGTAGTCTGTGATCCGGCAATCTTTTTTTTTTCCTCAGCATAAGTTTAGTTTACTATACATACTGTTTCATTGTGCCTTTCCTCTTGATGACTAGAGAATTTTAAATACATCCAACTAAATCATTCTGTAATGTTGTTAAAACAACACTATTGTTTTTAACTTACCAAACTGGTGGCTACTGGAGGATCATTTGCATCACAAGACTCATTGTCCGAGTCGGGGAAATCTGGGAAAAAAAGGTTTTTTTCACCTTAACGAATACTCCGGGTAGTCAATTACTCTTTTTTTATAATCAGTCAACTAAGATCATAACTTAGAGTTACCTACCATTTGAGCAACCTGGCCCTCATGACAACAAGTTATCCTGGTTTGAGCACATAGTCCAATCAAAAACCAGTACTTGAGCAGAGGATAACCCATAAAAACACTTTACCTCAAATGGTTCAAAACCTGAGCCTGCGATATGGTCGTGTGGTAGGGGGTGACAGGTGTCAGTTGACCATAGCAAGGCGTACTAATGGATGTAGGCTGTAAATCAAGGCTGCATGCCTTGGTCGATTTATTACCTTTTAAAAGCATGGCTGCCATGTTCCATGAAGTCATCATCATAATCGTTTTGCACAATCCACGCCGCTGGCCACATTGACCGTGTCTATGCATGCATGTAGCTCTGTTTGGATAGTTGCAGCCTCCGCATGGCAGCCCATTTGGCCACCAGAGTTCAGTTATATTTGGCTACTAACTATGCTGACACTGAAAAAACAAGACTTTTTGGTGTGTTCACCTACATACAGTACCTGAGATTCGCAATGTTGGCAAGTCACAAGCCAAGGACAGGTAAACTGCTTTGACACTTTGCAGGTGATCCTCATGTAGAGGGCTGTTGAATTGAAGCTCTTCATCAGCTGAAGCTTCTTGTTCAGCAACTGTAGATTGAGTATTACTCTCCTCAGCATTGTCCTCAGCGTCACCACAAGCTGTGTAAAAAATCCACATCATCATTTCGTATGTCATGTTTCTCTGCGTCAAAATCAGTTTCTGTTCCCTTTTAACAACTTACTCTTTGCCACAATATTCAGCATAGTCTGAGTAAAAAGGCTGGTTGGGAATTTAAGTGCCTTCTTGAATTTGTTTTCATTTGCCATTGTAGGTGCAAATGGGACTGATATGTTGACCACAGACTGTCCATGTTTCTTTGCCTCATCAGCCAACTCCTAAGTTTCAACAAAGAAAACATGGCATAAGGAATAATGCAGCAGTACTCTTAATATGTTACACATTTGGGGATCGTTGAAGGAAGTAATCATAATCATTAAGATTGATATAATTTTTAAGGGTAGAGGGGGATGCTTAAGAGTTAAGCATGTAGCAATTGTTTGTCTGCTAAATGATCAAATGATCAAATGCGTTTCTTCAAACTTGTAAGATTTGTATGTAATGGTGACTCACCTTTCTTCCAATGTGCGGCCAGTTTACAAGCTGACTGGACTTTATCGCTAATCCCTTCACCATTGTTCCATTTTGGTTCACTTTTACTGTTAAGTTTAACCAGGTCTTTACCTAAAGTAAATGTGGGTAATGTGGACTCTTCAATGTACAAGGTAGGATATTTACTGCTTCAACATAAATTGGTACGATTTGGATTACAATTGGTATCAAACTATAACTGTAACAGTCCACAGATAAGTAACCACAAGAACTCAAAATTAGGAGTTCTGATTGTGACGTTTTTAGGATGATTTTGAAAATGCATCCAGATTGCGCAAATTTCATACAACTCTACAAACAATTTACTTAATCATTTACGTAAGAATAATTATTTACCTTTGCTCTAGCATCTTGGTTTTTGCATTCTTGAATAATTGTTTGTTCCAATTTTTCAAGAACACACTGTTCTCTTGCTGTTGCACACTCTTTGTAGTGCCCAACATATTGCTCCACCAGCTCAACCAATTGCTCTGCTTCAGGCAAGAGTCCACAACTCATGTAAAGCTGAACACCAAAAACAAAATCAGTGCTTGAGGTTCAGTATAGCAATGAGTTACAAAAAGAGTATAACAGAAACACCAAAGCAGGGACCACACTTTCAACAATCTTTCCGTCAGCAATTCAAAACTCACCATTGTGTGGACAAGAAGCACTGAGGCCACACCTTTGTACCACCGTGCCTGCTGGCCAGGGATGGTAGCGATGAGAATGTCAATCAGTCGACCAAGCACGACACCCTCATGGAGTATGGTTTTCAAACAGTCTGTGTATTTCATTGACCAAACTGTCAGGAGCCCCTTTAAAATGAATTACAACTTTAGTAACTTTTACAGTTTAATTTACCATATTACTAATATTAAGGATGGTGCAATGTAACACTCATGTGACGAGGTCTTATAACAGTGACAGGAGTCCTCCTTAATAAGAAGAGCCTGTTCTGCATTAAGTCACAAGGAAAAAATGTTCAAAAGATGTCTTGAGTTACTGGTTTACATACCCTTATTGTAACTACATGTATATTTATTTATGTAACTATTTCTAAAAGTTATATCATTTAAAAATACACAGACAAAAGCTGGATGAATAATAAAGCACTGACCATTTTGTTTGACTCTTCTTGTATTACCTCTGTAAATTTTTAGTAGTCTCTCTTCTGGAATTTTGGTCACTTAATATCTATTAGCGTACAAATGCACACAAAATGCAGAGCTTTTTCACAAATGTTTACTCTTGGTTTTCCATCCACAAATTCGATTACTGCACTTGAGTGAGTTTCATTCATCAAAAACGGGACTTTTCCATTGCATAATCTTTGAGATCCTAAGACATGTTGGCTCATAGAACATAAAACATGTTACTCACCCTATTGCTACAGACAAGATCCATGAGTTCTTTTATGGCCTGTTCCTTGGTGGCTGAAAAGTTGTCATCTTTCTTGTACACAAAGTGTATAACCCTGCCACTTAATCTGTAAAATGTAAACTTAAGGTTTTTAACAGCTTTCAATTAATTTAATAAATACAGTTACTGTAATTTTTTGGGTTGTTTTATTTTGTTTGTTTCTTTGCACTAAATAGTGGTGAATAAACTGTATATATATATTATTTTGGCCATTTGCTTGTTTGGGTCAATAGACCTGGTCAATCAAATGAATTGGTCATGGTAAGACATTGATCATCAACATGGAAAGAACTTGGAAAGAAGAAAAAAAAAATTGCTATCTTTGATTCCATTCAACAATGTTGAAGAGAGAACTGATACTATATGATAACATTATATCGCAGCTCCTGCAGTTCGAAGGTTTAAGAGTGGAGTTCATTAAATATCATACATGTGTAGCTTAGAAGATTTGTACATACATGTATATGCATCGGCGATACATGTTATAATCAATTGACACATGTCAAAACAAGGTATTTGCTGACCAGTATCGAGTGACCATCTCATGGACTAATGTATAGCACTCATCAAGGTCACTTGCTTTGTGAAGTTGATTGCTTCCAAGGTACAGGTTTTCAACCTGGGTTTTCAATAAGATCGTAAGCTTGAGCCAGCTTATTTCACTGTAATTAGGTAGTCTGCTTTTACGCTTGGCTAATTCTATATATCATCATGAATATGGTATGGTAATACTTAATCATAACTCTACCAACCTTTCATTCTCTTTTACATTTGATGTCAACAGGACACCTCCCAAAGGGGAATCAATGCCTGCTTGAGAAGAGCCCTGCATTAGACCACCTTGCACTTGCAAAAGGAATTCTGACAAACTGTCACTCATCCTTACATCGTCGATGACAACAACAAATGTGGTCTTGGTCAATGCCTCCATTAATTTCTTTCTAAGAGGAAAGTAGACAGTGCCATATTATGAGAATACATATTGAGGCAATGAATTAATAGTATTATTCATGCAAAACTAGAGAGGGAGATATTGCTATTTAATAATAGTCGTCACATTTATTATAAAATTTAAAACAGAACAACATTATTATGCCAAACCTGTCATTTGTGTTCTATTATGGTTTTGTTTTTGTTTTACTGGGAACTAAAAACATTGTGTATGCAAGCTATACAACAAGCTCTGACTACCAGATTACACATAACTTATGATGTCATGAAAAGAAATTAAATCAAATCCAGTCTTACGAAGAGACTCCAGACAGTACTTGATCACCACCTGCCAGAAGCTGGTTGTGTTTCACACCTGGAACACCCTGTGCAAAGGCCAACATCTTGGCAGAGAGTGATTTCCCCACTGATTTAACAGGGCTCAATACCATCCCCAAATTTGCTTGATCTATAATAATGAGTAAAATAAAAATTAATATACATGTATAAAGTGTCAATTGAAGACTAATGTTGTAACATTTGGTCTTCCAATAAACCTGGGCATATAATGTTAGCTTTGTTGTACATCGCTCTGACAATGACAAATAAACACAAACAGACTTGTTCTTTAAAAGGTTGAATTGCTTTTAAGTGGCCATTGAAGCTCACTCAATTTGAAGTGGGAAAATACACAAACAAACAAAAATGGCCACAGGTTGAATCACTTTTAAGTGTCCATTGCGGCACTCAATTTGAAGTTGAAAAAAACAACAACAAAATCTTATTGCCCATTCAAGTCTAACATCCAACATTTGCTGCAAACGAGACAATAATATAACTGAGATACCTGCACTATCACAAGTTTGCCCTTTCTTCATGAGATGCTGGCAAATAAATGCAGCAGCTGCCAAAAAAGGTACTTTGTTAGGCCCCCAGCAACTGGCAAGGGAAATAAATCTGTAAAAGGGAGCAGTGTGAATGTGCTATTAGTATACCTACATGTCAAATGATTGACTATAAGAAGTACGTACATGTACCTCATAGATATCAGAGCCCTGAGAAAGAGATAAAATGCACTGTCAAGTGCATAATCGAAGGGGTGCATGGAAAAAGACCTTAAGTGACTTCTGATGGACTGCACTGTTCTCCTAACAAACTGCTTGTTGTTTCATTCTGTGAAAAAAAGGACAATTTGGTATAACATCAAGAGACACTTAAGGCTTTTTCCATGCACCCCTCCACTTATACACATTCTATCAATGTGGGATAGGACTAAATAAATCCATCTAAGGGGTTTACTTGACCCAAAAATACTATTTTTGATATCCCACCTGCAAGGATAATCCAAGTTATGTGAGGTGCATACACAAGAACAGGGCTCTTATCTAGTTCAGGAGGAGAGTACTAACAACATAAGCCAACAACATCTACCTTCTCATAACATCACAGAGATATCCCTCTGACAGCAATTTTTTTTCGAGAGTGTTATGATAAAGTGTCAAATCCCTCCTGTCGGCGCATCTGTACTCCCTTTGTTCTTGTGGAACAAGCAAACAATTGTGTACTTGAATCTGCAATGATCAAGCAATACTAGGTTACAATCAAAATTTGTAATGTCTCAATAATGATGATATCATTCACCATATTATGAACATTTGAAATAATTATTATTCACAACTACATCGCTAAAATCGATGTTGTGCGCTTGAGACATCCAGGAGCTTCTACTATTTCCAGCCAGCTACTAGATGAAGACTGCTCTCATGGCAGGCAAATCCTGGCAATCCAGCCATTACCCCCATGCAGTAGGATGAACAGCCACCTGTCACACTGTCAAAAACAGTGGAAAGAGGGAGGGTAAGGCATTGGAGGGGAACTGCCTGGGCAATGAGCTGCCACACTAACGCAAATGTACAATGCCAAAAGAAACGCCTCCTCTGTGCAATGCTACAATCCATAAGCGTATATGTGTCGACACCGCTGACTACCAGGGATCGTAAGAGCTCTATGTTGTTAACTAAATAGCAATTAACTGTATTTAAAAACTAAAAGGATTATCCAATATTATTGGTCATTAGTAGGAGATAGTTCCAAAAACATTAGATGTTTTTAGCAGTCCATATATAAAAATTGCCACATATGAATGTAAGTTATGACAAACCTCTTCCGACAAGCACCAATAACCATCTCGTTGCAACCCAACGTGCACCATTAGGTTGCAGTGCTGTTGGTCACCAGCCTCAAAATCTCTCTTCAGATACTGGTAGTATTCCATCACATCTTTATTGGTGCAGGAAGGAAAGAGGCTAAATGTTCCACCCTGGAAGGCCTGCCTGAGGGCATTGATAAACTTTTGTTTCGAATCGAAACAACTGGTCGCCAATACTACCTCTCTGAAATTCAGCAAATATAGAATGTATTATATGTATTGATTTGACAAATTAGCCATGGGTGTATTTACGTGAAGGGGGGATTAGTGGATAGCGTGGCTACCAACCCCCCTTTTGGAGAGGAAAACAAGTGCAAAAAAGATCTTAAATATTATATGACACAAAAGGCAGGCACTGTGCTGGACAGATACATGTACCTCATTGTAAATTCTAAAGTGACATTACTAAAATTCCTGGTGTTATAGTTTCCAGTTAGGTCACAATTCTCAAATTGCAACATTTTGTGGGCACGTCCTACTGAGTATCCAACTGCAAGGTACCACCCCGCCCTTTCGAAAAATCCTGCAGGGGCCCGTTCCTAGAAGGTCGCACGAAGCCGTAACAACATCTCAAACCTTGTGATTACAAAGCTGTTTTTCCACATATTCTTAATACGCAAAAGAGTTTCGCAGCGTACAAGGAGTTTAAGGCGTAAACACTTCTCTGCTTTCAGATACAGATTAACTAAAATTGGCTTTGCGGCCCCAAAAAGGTCCCGGGGCAAACGGGGCCCTGGATCCACGGTCCCTGTTATTCGAGTAAACTATGACAGAATTTTTAAGTCAACGAGGTACAATACAATTTACCTTGACACATGTTGTCTGTTTATAAGACAACCACACTGTCCAATCCAGTAGCCCTCGCTAGTGTGGCCAGTCAACTCTGAAACAAATCTCAAAGTGAAATCCCCAAACGTAAACTCCTCTTCAGCGTCTTCTCCGTAACTTAGGTAAGTTTTTCCTTCTCTGACTCTAAAGGCACCCTGAAACTTATGCAGTAGGAAATGTGTTCAGCTTCTTGCTCAACACCATATGGTCGCTCTTTAATACACGCCTTCCCCAAGTACAGAATTCGTTTTTCTCTAGTATTTTCGACCGCCCTACTTCGTCCAGGTTGCAAACTCAGCCCCAGGGTATCTGGTGTTGTGCGGTCATCCATGATGGCCGTAACGCGCGCGCGAGTCGCGCGCCGCAATCGCTTCGCCTACCTCGCGGTGAACCAACAACACCTAGACAGGCTGGGCGATTCTAGATCTCGCATTCCGTCACTCACCGGTTCACAAATGTAATATCTGCCCGTGAACAACCGTGAAACATAACAACCGTGAACCATAAAAACGCCTAAATGTTTAACGGCATTTAGCGTGCAGTTTCTGGAAAGTAACACAAAAAGACCATCTCCCAGTCCCACTAAAACCCTACTGAGACTAAGAAAGATTCTTCACGCAGAACTCTCTGACCTCTTTCCGTTGCACTATAGTCTATAGCTCAACAGAAACGTCTTCAACATTGCTTGAGATCCAAAGATAGAGATAGATTGAAATCTGTTCAGACTTACCACGTCCTGGCTAATACGAAGTGAGTCGTCCATGCTGCTCGCCATGCTGTCCGGCACTAAAATAAACGCTACACCGCTCGCTTTGTGAAAGGGTAATTGTTTGCTTGGGCACCTACTGATTCATTACACAATTATAACAAACCTTTGATTGTTTCTCGTAATAAGATCTGTAGAGTGTTTCCGATTTCGGGTGATTGACGGATAGCGTACGGTGTGCCGCCATGGAGAAGAGTGCTCTTTTGTGAGAAACTATTACTTCTCAAGAAAATTTTCCTGGTACCGTGGAATGTGCTTTTTAGATGGGCCAATGAAATTTTCAGCCATATGCAGTTCGATTGCAATCTATGTGAATGATTTGATAAACAATGAGACTGTCATTTTGCACACACCCTCAATTTAAAAGCTGTGACACCCGAGAAACTTGGTACCGGATATACTTATTTCCATGCCAGCAGCTACATAGCGAGAGTATTGTATTCTTAATCCTTTCTCTTATTAATACTGGTAAATATGATGTCCGTGTTTCCATTTCCTTCCGTTGGAACTCTTTCTGCACATTTTTGACTATGTCGCATTCAGAGAAAGATTCAAGTTACGGATTGTTTGTCAAAGCTGGAACCGATTGCTGATTCATCCAGTTCTGCTGCAGCATTTGGATTTTAGTCGTTTAAGAGGAAAGAAATTGATGCGCGGACTCCGTGCATGTTTTAATCACACCACCCAAGTATTCTCCCTGGACCTGTCGGGTTGCCTCACGCGTTGCGTTTTTTTGCGGACTCTCTCAGATGGAAAATTGACCAATCTGAAGCGCCTTATCGTGGCCCATAGCTGGATAGATACTGAAATTATGATTACAATGTTGCAGAGAACGCGTTGTCTCCAGGAGCTGGACATGACAGACGTCAGCACGATTAAGGACGACGTTTGCGAAGTCATAACTAAGTTCGCTTCCCATTCTGTTAAAGTCTTTTACCTCCCAGAGCGCCTCTCATTCTGGTCACATACACGAATTTCACGCATGCTTGACAGCTGCCAAGAGCTGGTCACATTAGGAGTGGATGGCGATATGGTTGATGCTCAGTTCATTGGGGACATTTTTAACGGCCTAGAAGTGAAGAAACTTCGCAAGCTAAGACTGACGGATGTTAAGGACGCCTGCGTCATCAAGGCGCTGCGAATCATACATTCCAACCACTCAAGTAGGATAGAACTGTGCGTCTGTCGCTGCCCTTATTTAAGGACGGAAACTACAGAACTGTTGAGTAACTTAAGCATTCCTTTGTGCTCACAGTGTAAATATGACATCTCAACGTTTTCTTGGAAATAGAAAGGAATCGGCGCACGCCAAGAGAACTCTTTGTCATTCGCCTTATAAATGTCTTTTGCTGCTGCATTTTATTGTCATTTTATGTCCAAAATTTAATACGGCCACCCCGTTAATACAGCCACGTTTTTGTGACCTGTTGATGACCGGATTAACGATGTTCCACTGTGCTTACAACGCAGGCGTCCCAAACTCACGATTCCAGGAATAGATCAAATATTACCCCCGCAACCCTCACAACCCTCGCAACCCCCACAACCCTGAAAACCCTGACAACCCCCACAAACCTGACAACCTCCACAACCCTCACGATCCTCGCAACCCTGACAACCCTGACAAACCTGGCAACCCTCGCAACCTTCACAACCCTCACAACCCCGACAACCCTCGCAACCCCCACAACCCCGACAACCCTGACAACCCTGACAACCCCGACAACCCTCACAACCCCGACAACCCTGACAACCCCGACA